ATACGAAAACAAGGTCGGACCAGCACTTAAGAAATAAAGCCTGAAGTAAAACGTGTAGTTCGATTGAAGCCGACTGAAAACAGTCAAATAGAAAGATCTATGGTCCTATAAGGGAGATTTTTGATAGGAGGCGTGAATCGAATCAGCAAATCGAGAGGCAGGGGGTGCATGGCAAACAGCAGATGTGACGAGGTTAGAGTATGCTCGCCAAAAAAGGCCACACCTCTAGTGGAATGGAATACAAATAAGTGAGAAGTTGTTAGCGGACGGTAGCGAGATAGAAGGATTGGGAGGGGGTAGATGTGCCACGACAGAAAAAGGAGTAGTGATAGCACAACCGTTCGACAGAAAGTGTGTCAAGGGACTCACTTCAATTGTCTCTTTCCCGAGATGTAGCTTGGTGCTGAGCATGGCAAGGTTGACTGATAATGCTGACTATGATGCCGGCGAAACGTTTGGGAAAGTACCAGGTCCATGGTCCAACGCTTGGAATTACGATAACTACTATGACATAGGACTTCCGGCAAGGTCACTCTTACAACACGAACAAGTTGCGAAAATGAGCTCAGACTACTTCTATTAAAAGTATCACTTTCTGAAATTCATAAGCGTTTTAAACGAGCTTTATCTCATAAAAATAAACCAGAATTATCTATAATTGTGTGTAAATTATTGCTGTTAATTGCTATGGGACTGATCAGTGACCTACTGGGCGTGCATTCACGAGGTCTAATCCAAACATTTCTTTTAACATGCCGTTTAGTTGGTTTGTAAATTAGAAAAAAATAAAGTATTTCCTTTGCATGATTATTCTATCTGTTATGTAGCTTTTGAGTGCCAGCTTGTAGGTTCTTTTATTCGCCAAAAGATGTACAGACCGATAGCCTAAATGTAGGCCTTGATGTGGCGTCCCGAAGTTATTCTCAATATAATAATGTCAGAATTAAAACCAGTAGCAGAAAAGCAGCCTAACTCTTATTTAATTTATTATGTTCTATCTTATTTCCATAGATGTTTAAAGAGCGATTACCATAAGGAGCATGTATACGTTGTATGAACTCTATTCAGAACCCTCACTATCAAGATTAAAAATATTATAATGGGATTTCTCTTCATTAGCCAAATTTATGAATATGGGTTAAGTCAACATGATCCCTAGCATTCAAATGATGTAAAATGGCTAAAATAAAAATTTTGATTGTACTAGTCAGTTCCGAGTATTCGATTTATGGAAAGTGTATTCCAATAATAAATTCCATTTAAATGGTTCTAACCTGATTTCGAATCCGTTGACCTTTCTCTAGAGCCGACAACATAGATGGAATATTTTCTCAGCAAGATCCAGTTGTACAGCCTTCTTGATAGCTTTCATATGATGTTGGCTTATTTGACATGGAGGACATGTTAGAGGCAATGGACCTGAGCTGACTTTCAAATTCTTAGTTTAGAATTATTCTACCCTAATCATCCTGTAATCACATATATGACCATTAATAAAGTGTTTTGCCCCTCACTAAATACCATAACTTTTTTCAATTGCCGATGCTGACGAAATGGTTTGCATAGATCCTTAAATTATGTATATTTAGACTTAATTCTGGTATACAATTTATTTGGTTTTACATGTACGTGTAGGGGATTCCTAGATTGGCCTTATCGGACACCAAAGGAGGATTGCTTTGAAATCTTTGAAACCTAACCTCTCTTCCTATCTAGGCTTAGTTTAGTTTCATTACAACATTCTATACAGCCTCTTAAATTATATGTAAGCCTTTTTGCACAGTATTTGTAAATAAGCCCTGAATAAACGTTTTCGTAAGCGAAAAAATGTATCTATGCTTTGAGCCGTATAGAAAATTTTGAAAATTATAATAAAATAAACTATTGAAATCAGATCTTCACTTCGTCAAAAATATAACTTGGATAAAATTTGGGTACTCTTCATTCCAAAGGAGATGGTCTAGCAACAGAAACACACAATCCATGAAAGCTATCTTAGAATGGGTACTATCTACATCGTGTCAGCCTTTTTCTGAGAAACATATATAAATGTAATAAAAGATACTGCTTTCTTTTTCAAACCACATAATTATGGCAAAAGGCTGGGACATTCTAATCTGATGGTAATGGTGCTTCCAAGTTTTACTTTACAATTTACTTTTCATTCGCTTTCCTTCTTCATGATCTCATTGCCAAGAGCAAGATGTTTTTGGTGCTATTTACTTAATACCTCAGTAGGGAATACCGGTATCACATCATTTGCATTAGTATAGAAATTGCTAAATAAACCTTATCAGCCCTTTCGCAGCAATGGCCTGTTACACCAGTTTGGCCAGAAAACAGCGTCATCAGCAGCAACCGTACGCCGTCGTGTCGACTCACTGGACTTCGCCTGCTCTTGAGCTCCCAGTCTTTCTGGCGTATTGTTGATATCTGGCTCGTCAAGACCAATCACTCCTCTGCTTCTGCCTCTTGGGGGTTTGATAAACCCTTCGTAGCTACGACGCTGTCGGCCAGTCGGGGGTGGTCTTTTGAAGTGGCGCCATTGTCCACGTTGATATGGACGACGAAACACCGAAGAAGGAGGTAGCCTGTGGCGATAGTAGGGCTGAGGAAAAAGGTAACCGGACTGCAGAGAGCTATGTACTTGTTGAACACGTCCGTGTTGAACATTCAAGACATTTTGAGGCTCATAGACATCCGGAATTCCGAGATGAGGCTGAATGAAAAGGCATGCCAAGGATATTATGCAGAGGAGAGAACAGTGAAATGGTGTGAAAATCGGAGGCATCAGTTTAGACATAAAGCTCTCCGTAAGATGACTCAGGTGTGTATTGTATGGGAAGATGAGTGTCTTTCAACCAGGCTGAAGTAGCCTTGCAATGAATTTCTGCTGTGTGCAGTTACCCGAGTCAAACTCCCAGGTCAGGCTTGATGAATGCTTTGAGTAAAATAAGGAGAGCCAATGCAGAAATAGTGGCACGGGAAACCAGAAGATATCAAAACATACAAGCACTCCTATTACTAATTCTATTGCTTCGAAGCACAGCAGGTAAGTTGCACCAAACCAAAGCTTGCATCTTCGATGTAAGTATTTTTCGAGACTATCCTGCTTGTCTGCCTGCATGAATGTATGATTATTTGTCTATTTATCTGTCTGTATATGCGTATCTATGTATGTATGTGTGTGTGTGTGTGTGTGTGTTTAAATACGTATATTTGTATGTATATATGTGTGCATGTATGAATGTATTTATGTTTATCGGTATGTCTGCCTTCCTGTTTGTCTATCCATCAGTCTGTATGTCTGTCTGTATGCATAGCTGCCTGCAAGTTGGTGCCTAGACAAGTACAGAAACTCACAAAAGCAACTGCCTGGTTTAAGTGATCACTGAAACGCAACATCTCTACCGCCCATTGGGCGAACCAATAAAGAAATTCACCAATAGCAATTCAAAGTATGTAGAGCAGTTTTAGCACACTACCCGACAGCAGTGAGTTAATTTTACGCCGAGCATCTTTAAGTAAAGTTCTTTTTATATAGGCTGTTTGACCTTGTTTCGCAACTTGGTCATATTGGTAGGAAGACTTAGAGGAACGCAACTAGTCCGGAGTCCATTGTATGCATTCTAATTTCCAAAGTCTGACCGTGGTCGTGGTACATTCACCGAAGTTTCGCCGGCATCGTAGTCGGTATAGTCTGTTAGTCTTGCCAGTCTTAGCAACACACTGCAACTCGTCAAAGAGACAAGTGAAGCCGACTCTTTGACCAAATGTGTACTAAACAGTTGTGGTATCTTTCCTTCTATCATAGGCTATTCACTTCTCTTCTGTTCTTTTATTAAGCCTACACTATCACATTTTTTTCATATCCTATTTAAATCTAGTGTGGTATGCCCTTTTGAGCGGCTTTCATGACCTTTTCACCCCCCTTCACCGTTGATCAGAGTCTGCCATATTGTTACGCAGTCCTCTTTCATAGGTCCTATCAGAGTTTCCCTCTTGTCCCGTAGGATCCGTCTGCTATCTCTCTGGTTCAGGTATCTCACTCGACCCCTGCCACCCATCTGTACGTCTGTCGTAAAACAGACCAACTATAAGCTAACTAGCT